TATATATATATATATATATACTTTTATTTTAAAATTTGAAAGAATTTGTAAAAGCAGAATTACCACTTTAATGTTGTTCTAAAGACTTATTACTTAATAACACAAAAATGTCCTGCTCGCACTTGCCAATTTAATGGCAGAGAATTGTGACTTTAGGTTTTGTTTTTTGTTTTGAAGCGGATGGATATCTGTCGTAAAATAATCATATGCATCTCGTGGTGTATATTCCAAGCATTCTGAAGGTATACTAAGGGTTTGGTGAGAAACAAACCGGAATGGCAAGTTGTTATATTTTATGAAAATCTTGCAGCAGCTCACGCGGCGCGCAAGTGCATATCCTTTTGAGATATCAATTATAATAAAACACAAGACTACATTATAAAACTCTAACAATATCTGTTGTTCTCCGGTTGTCAGTCAGAATTCTTGCATGAACATTATAGGCCTATATATACCCAAGCCAATTAATTATTACTTCCTTTTTGTCTTAGTGTTCAAAATATTAGAATTGTGTCTTTAGGTTTTGTTTTTTGTTTTGAAGCGGATGGATATCTGTCGTAAAATAATCATATGCATCTCGTGGTGTATATTCCAAGCATTCTGAAGGTATACTGAGGGTTTGGTGAGAAACAAACCGGAATGGCAAGTTGTTATATTTTATGAAAATCTTGCAGCAGCTCACGCGGCGCACAAGTGCATATCCTTTTGAGATTATATAAAAATTATATCAATTATAATTATAATAAAACACAAGACTACATTATAAAACTCTAACAATATCTGTTGTTCTCCGGTTGTCAGTCAGAATTCTTGGCGTCTGTCTGCTTATTGAGTTTATTTAACCCATCGCAATTTATTGGAGCTGTGTGAACTAGAGTGACTACTCACCTTAATGTTGTTCTAAAGGCTTATTACTTAATAACACAAAAATGTCCTGCTCGCACTTGCCAATTTAATGGCAGAGAATTGAGACTTTATTTTTATTTATTTATCTATTTTTTTGAAGCGGATGCATATCTGTCATAAAATAATCCTATGCATCTCGTGCCGTATATTCCAAGCATTCTGAAGGTATACTAAGGGTTTGGTGAGAAACAAACCGGAATGGCAAGTTGTTATATTTTATGAAAATCTTGCAGCAGCTCACGCGGCGCGCAAGTGCATATCCTTTTGAGATATCAATTATAATAAAACACAAGACTACATTATAAAACTCTAACAATATCTGTTGTTCTCCGGTTGTCAGTCAGAATTCTTGCATGAACATTATAGGCCTATATATACCCAAGCCAATTTATTATTCCTTCCTTTTTGTCTTAGTGTTTAAAATATTTATTTTGAAACAAATTAATTAATTAAACAAACAGACTTACTGGGTGAGCAGGGTAGGCTATGACAGCTGTCATATCATACCCTGCCATGCCCAGCTGATGCAAAGAATAGAATTTATATCTACACAGAAGAAAGCCCTGTCTAGACTCTGCCCCTGTATGAGTTGTGTCGAGCTATTCATTAGCCTGTTTGTTTGATGAAAAAAGATTAAATGTAGTTGCAATAAATGTGTTAAGAATCCATACAACTGCAGCAGCAGAGGACTATTATTCTGCTGCATGATACTGCAGAAGAACTGATTTGATCTTAAACTGACCAATAAGCAGAAAGGGGTGTTTAATTCCCGCCCACTGTAGAAATCGAATATTCAAGCTGTTTATTAATTTTTCTACCCCTGAACGAAAAACGAAAATTTAAGTTGAATTCTTGTTTTAAATAAAAAGGAGCCGTTTTCTCATTTTTCTACTTTCAATATTAAATAAAAAAACGAATGATCACGGATTCTTAACCTACCCCCAATCCTAAACCTACCCATTTTACAGCAAATATGCATTTTTATCATTTTATTAATAAGCAATTTAGATTTTTAGACCTCTTAACCTACCCATTTTATAGCGAATATAAAAGGATATAAAACGCAACTGACCGAAATATGCAGGAAAATAACCATTTTAGTAACATATAGCATTCAAATATTTTTATAGTCGCTAATCTCATTCCTACCTCTAAACCTAAACATAACTATTTCTGTACAGTATAAGAAAAACATGACAGACAGATAAATGCAATCATTTATTTATTGCAAAAAATGTCAAAAGCAGTACCAAAAGTAATCCAATTGATGATGCGTTGCAGCTGTAGTCCTCTCTGGCGGAATACAGTAGGTTTGTTTGAGGTTCAAAACCGAAATTATGTTGTTAATCGCTATGAAATTATGTTGTTAATTATCCAGATTATTTTCCCGCTCCACTCCATGAACTCGTGAAGGCGCGCGCGCATTATTCAAACACTCCTCACCAGAAACACTGCATGTCACAATCTGTGACGAATGCATGGGAGAGCCAATGAGCGTTCGATTATTCTGCCGTAAAACCTGTCTTTTGAAGCGGCAACATTTGAATTTGTAAAGAACGCGTCAGTCAGCGCTGGCTTTGCTGCTAACGGTCACTGGACTCGTTGCTCGGGACAGAGATGAGGATCGCCGAATTAAGGCTTGGATTTGGGTCTGTTCCTCACAGTCGTATGGATTCTGAAGATTTGGATTCGCGCGCATTATTCAAACACTCCTCACCAGAAACACTGCATGTCACAATCTGTGACGAATGCATGGGAGAGCCAATGAGCGTTCGATTATTCTGCCGTAAAACCTGTCTTTTGAAGCGGCAACATTTGAATTTGTAAAGAACGCGTCAGTCAGCGCTGGCTTTGCTGCTAACGGTCACTGGACTCGTTGCTCGGGACAGAGATGAGGATCGCCGAATTAAGGCTTGGATTTGGGTCTGTTCCTCACAGTCGTATGGATTCTGAAGATTTGGATTAAAGCGCACAAATAAAATTGTTTCATTTCGTAATTATGTTGCATTTTTGGTGCATTTTATAGTTCTATTGCAAGCCACAGCATGTCGGAGAAAACGCCTTTTGTGGCCCACCCAGTCAACACGTGAGATCATGCAATGATCACAGTGACATTACACGATCCTCATACTGTGATCCTCACGGTGTGAGTAGTATATGAGCTCATTGTGAGTTCAATCGACCCTCATACTGTGATCCTCACGGTGTGAGTAGTAAATGAAATAATTGTGAGTTCACACGATCCTCATACTGTGATCCTCACGGTGTGAGTAGTATATGAGCTCATTGTGAGTTCACACGATCCTCATACTGTGATCCTCAAGGTGTGAGTAGTATATCAAATCATTGTGAGTTCAAATGATCCTCGTACTCTGATCCTCATGGTGTGGGTAGTATGTGAGCTCATTGTGAGTTTCAAATTTTGAGCAGGTTGAGATAAAGCAGTTCAAATATTAGTCACCGGGGATAAGATCATCTACATCTTGGTTAAGATTACTAAAAGTTTTGCACCTACAGCACACATTACATCCATTGATGCAGAAATGCAGATATGTTCTACATGTCTAAAGTAAATAGAGAGATAAACCTTATAAACTGCTTGATTTTGTGTAAACAACTTAAAATATAATCTGCATATACAATAAACTATAGTATTAATTTAGATCTATCTACAGAAAGGATTTTGCAGGTTTTAATAAAATGTTATTTAATAACATTAGTAAGCTAATTAAGATTACTTCCAGTATGTGCCTCAGGCATGCAAAGTATCGTCAACTCCTTTATGAGCATCAACGGTAATCCTCTGCAAACTTTCAACACTTCGACGGCCAGCAAACATTGGCTGTGCGTCTTGCGTCATCAGCCTGGAACTAAAGTTCAATTCAGTTTGGTTACTTCCTATGAACAGGCTCAAACAACAATTTGTTCAGAAATCGAACATCAAATTTGAAGCAAAAGCAATAATTAAAGCATATATAGTTAAGGAGTGTCAACAAAAATGGGATACGGGGAGCACAGGACGTCATCTTTATAAAATACAGCGAGAAGTAGGAGTAGTGAGGATATCAAAATTT